TATCTCCTCCAGACGAGTATTAATGGCACATAGACGTAGGCGAAAACTTAAGTGGAAGGATGAAGTTTATGAGGATGCACGGAAAATTTGTGCAATAAACTACCAACGGTTATCAATGAATATGATTGAACGGAGAACGAACAAAGATCGAAACTCTACTTTAGGGCTTTAACACCAGTGCTATTAATGATTATGATAAAGCTACCAATCAAGAAGTCTTGTAAAGCTTATTAAAAAAACGGGGCTCGTTGATAAAATAAAAAAAGTATATGTAAACCCCAAGATCTTGTCCAAGTAATGAGACCACTACAAAATTAGCTATCATCTATATAAAAAGATGACCATATAGAGAAAAATTATGGGAAGACATATTATATTGTTATGTCTTTATATTTTCTAATTTATTGTTCTTATTTTAATTTACTAAAACACGATAATTTATATCAATTTATTAAACCACTGTACAACAATTTATTCTTGACTAATAATTACATAATTTATTTATACTATCGTTACATTTAAATACCCGTCGCGATCTTCTTTTTTCACTGCTCCCCTAAATAAAATGTCCCATATATATATATATATATATATATATATATATATATATATATATATATATATATATATATATATATATATATATATATATATATATATATATATATAATAATATATATATATATATATATAAAATGCCGTTATCTAGAAGGATCTGGCGATGAATCGATGACCTTCCACCCATTAGACGACAAGGTGACTCATGGACTGGTCTTTCGGCGAAGGGACTAGAGATTTGTGCCGGCAGGTAAACAGGTCTTTCAACTGAGCGCCGAAATTACTAGAAATAGAAAAAATTAGTCATAATATATTTATAGTTATATACGCCATAATATTTATTATCGTAACATTGCCCCCCTCTTAAAAGATGGTTCCTCCTGGAACCTTGTCGGGACTGGAACTGGAACGGCATGCTGTTATCGGCAACTGGACCCCCTTTTACAACTTCCAGTTGTATAAAAATGACAAGGGACGGTTTTCTCTCCGCACCAGTAACTATATCTTGGAATATATCGCTTTCGAAGTTCCTGCCTTGGTCACTATGGATCTTCAAAGGCACTCCAAATCGGCTGATATATTTTTGGATCAACTTATCTGCAACGGTGGCGGCCTTTTGGTCTGGAAGTGTGTAAATCTCGACCCACTTAGTGAAGTAATCCATTACTACCAACATGTACTTGCCTCCATTTTCACTTTCTGGAAAGGGCCCAGCAATATCCAAAGCTATTCTTTTAAACAGGCTTCCAACATTATATTCCCATAGGAGCTCTTCTTTTTTGATAAGGCTCGTTACTCGTAGCACAAATAGTACATTTCTTACACCAATCTTTTACATCGTCGAAACTGTTCATCCAAAAAAACCGTTCCCGAATTCGCTGAAGTCGGTCTTCTTTACATCAAAATGGCCTCCTGATGGACTGTCGTGTAACTGACGAAATACTTCGGCTATTCTGCTCTTTGGGATCACCAACTATCTTCTCTTCTCTGAATCGTCATCATTGTTTAGGACTCGTTTGAGCAAGCCATCTTCCATGATAAATGAGTCCCACTGGGCCCAATACGTCTTTTAACTACTAAGCATAGGTTTGATATTTCTTGCCAAGGTGGGCGATGGTTTTCCTCTTTCCATTTTCGGATTTTCTGTATAACTGGATCTCTCTCTTGTTATAACTTCCTTCCATAGAGGTATTGATAGAAGTGCTCTACTGATTTCACTACTGCCAGAAGTTCTCTTCTCGTGACGCAATAATTCAGCTCAGGTTTCGAGAGAACTTTACTAAAATATCCAAGAACTCGTCCCTGTCCTCCTTGAATGTGAGACAGCACTCCTCCAATTTCCACATTACTTGCATCTGTATCTAAGATAAACTCTCCTTCTGGCAGTGGATACCCTAAAATTGGTGCTGTTATTAAATGCTTTTTTAAGGTCTCAAAGGCATTTTGGCAGTTTGTATCCCAGCGGTATTCTCTTGCTTCCTCTCTAAGTCGCGTTAATGGTTTAGCGATATCTGCAAACTTCTTAATAAACCTCCGGTAATAAGTAAATAGTCCAAGAAAACTTCTCACTTGATGATTGATTTTTATCTCAAAATCTCTCTACTTGATCATCTTTTCATTGTATTTAACACGCAAATTATTGTTCAGTCATTCTCAAGCTTATTATCGGGAAAATATTGATAATTAGGAGATGATTGGTTTGAAGACATTCTATTTTTTAGCCAACTGTTGGTGAAGTATCTTTCCTACTAGGCCATTGACACCCATATCGGCATTTTTTGTGGTTGTGGAAATCATCTGTTTATGAAGATATGTTTCCTGATGTCAACCAGGAGCAATTCTTGTCATCATCTTTAATTTTGCTGGATCATGCAGATTTATGAGTCTGATATAAAAAGCCTTATTCTTAAGTAGTTGATTCGTCGGTTTATTGATCCATAAAGAGATGTTTTACTTTTTTATTGATAATGAATCGTCTTTGATTTTGCAGCAGCTGTATTAGATGACAAATTTTTCTTTGGCAGGGAAGACTGGAATAAAGGTGTACCCATACAAGCTGCTGCTATCTGGTACACGGATGGCTCAAAACATCGGAGGGTGTGGGAGCCAGCATAGTAGGGACAAATCAAGGGATACATTTCCCGGTAAGTCTATCTAAGGATGTAACAGTTTTTCAGGCGGAAATAGCGGCAATCCATCACTGCGTGGAAGAAATAGAAAGGCAGGAAAGAACGTTCTGTTCAGTCGCCATCTTCACATATAGTCAGGCAGCACTTAAGGCACTCAATTCTGTAGAGGTAAATTCTAAGCTAGTTTGGGATTGCGTGTCTCCCTAAATAAATTAGGAGACCGTAGCAAGATTACGGTAGCCTGGGTAAGGGCAATGAAAAAGCAGATGAAATGGCCAAACAAGGATTATCAATCCCATTCATTGCGGGGTTGCAAAGTCAGTAACAAGAACGGTTACAAGGAAGTGAGTAGCTCACAAATGTCTGGAATGGGGGAGGAATTCACCAGGACAAAGACAAGCGAAACAATTCATTACAAAACATTCGTCAAAATTTACGGCAGACCTAATAAGCAAAGGCAGGAAAACAGTCAAAGCCTTAGTAAGTCTTCCAACAGGGCACTGTAAGCTGAATAGGCACTTGAAGCTGATGGGATTATCAGATGATGACCTGTGCAGATTCTGTCATCTCGAAAAAGAAACAACAGAGCACATTTTATGTCAGGCAAATGTGCGGTTCTCTTCATTAGGAGAAGAAAATTCACCGGCAAATAGCTACATGGAAGGTACAGTCTCGAAACTACTAGACTTTATAATAAGGTTCAGGCTAGACAATGTTATCTAGAACTAGAGGACCCCAATAGACCTGAAAAGGTCGCAGTGGAATTGGCCAAAAGGCCACCTTTCTAAATATATCTATCTATCAGGTACATATTGATAAAGTCAATCAAACTCGTCTTTGATTTTACAGCAGCTGTATTAGATATCAAATTTTTCTTTCGGGGAATTTCTCACTATTTGTATAATAGTAATGTGTGCTTGATATTGTGTTGGTACATTATTTTTCAGAGATTTACAGTATCTTACAATGTTCTAACGTTTCAAGTGTATATTCCCAATTTCTTGTCCTTATTGCGTTGCATTTTATTATCAAAAGATTCTTCCATCTTCTTTGACTGTGGATTTCGTAAAAATATATTTTTAATTGGATAGAATTCTCAAAGCTATGCACAACCTTTCTTCATTTGCCAAATTTGGGACTAACGCTGGCAATTACTAAGCTACTCGACCAACCAGAACTTAACAAGATGTTGAATTGTATTAGGTATTGCTGTTTTCATTCCTGTTTTTTGTAATCTCTAGCCTGGTTTTAATAATAGACAAGGTAGATAATTATCAATCTTAACCTGTCTTACCTAATATATATAAGGTTCTTGAACTACTAACTAGAGCAAAGAGCTTCAGTGAAAATGCGCCATCGGGTTCTATTTTGCGCTAAGGCCTTCACCTCATTCTAAGACCTTCCTTGGCCTCTTATCTCGTCCATGATGGATCTTCTCCAAGTTTTACTGGGCGACCTCTTTTTCTTTTCCCTCGGGGTTTCCACTCTGGGGCAGTCTTTGCGATACTGGAACTATTTTTTCGGAGTGTGTGACCGATCCAACCCCACTTTCTGGACTTAATTTCATTTTGTACCCTCTTTTGTCCGGTAAGGTGTAGCAGATCTTCGTTTCTGATGGTGTTAGGCCAGAATATACGGACAATTCTTCATAGACATTTGTTAACAAAGACCTGTAGTTTGTCTGTGGGGGTGTTTGTCACTTTCCAGGTTTCACATCCGTAGAGTAGAACAGACATGACATTTGATCGGAATATTCGGATCTTGGTCCTTGTAGTATACCCGCCAGATCTCCAAACAGTGTTGAGCGTGCTGAAAGCTTGTTAGGCTTTTCGTATCCTCATACGAATATCGTCTTCTGTTTTACCTAATAGGGATCTTGAAAATAGTTAGGTGTGTTTTTGAATATTTGCTTTTTGATTTGAGCGCAGTTTTACTGCAATACTTGATAAGTTATTTGTTAACTGCGATAATATTCTGAGCTATGTTTCTATTCATCAGTAACTCTGTTTTATGCAAATATAGATAATATTGAATTATTTTGTTTAATATAACAAATACCATAAGAAAGACTGAACTATAATTTTTTAGATAATATAATGAAATTATTTTATTATAACGTTAAAATCGATATTAAACATTTAAGCGATAATTTCTTGGTCTGTTTTTTTTTCGGATAAAAAGTATTAATCTGTTATTTTTAAAAATGGCATTCCATCTCTAGGTATTGGATATTTTCTTTAAATCCGCGCATGTTCCTTTAGACCGAATGTAGTTACATGTAGTCAGGTAAGATGGCGCATGGTTTGAAAAGTGAAAGAAAGGCATATGGCGTTCGTTTCTATTTTTGCTAATTCAAAGAAGTTTATGTGCGTTGTGAGTAATTGAAAAGTTTGAAAGTAAATTTACTTTACTAATCAGCGAATATACAAGCATTATTTATTATTGAAATTATTAAAGCGAAATTTCCGTGTTTGTGTCCGTATGTTAAGTTTTTGTTGACGAAATAACGAACTGTGATATTAAGCTTAGTTGTATATTATATAGGTTTTCCTTTATACAATTTCGAGTTTCGATTATTTATTGTACAACGTAGATTAGGTGTACAGCTGACTCTGAACATTTAAAAGTGTAACCAAAGAAAAAATTGTGCTATGTCTGTGTCACAGGCGTCAGAAACAGAGAAAATGCAGATGAAGATTTCGAGTGACAAGCAGTCTAAAAATGGCAAGTTTACTCTTCTTATGTTTACTTATTGCATATTGTACTTTTAAATTTACTGTGAGGTTTAATAATGTATATCGAAAGTATCTGGACGTTGTAATAGGTTTTCTAAAATTAAAGACACAAGGTTTATTTGTGTCCTTTAAATTTTTAATGTCACTTTATGTAGATCATAATAGCTTTCCAAATATCAAAAGGTATCAACAATTTATGGCTCTCTTTAAGACGAATATTATCTTCATGATTATTTAATCTTTATTCAGATGTCCTGCTATTTTTATTTATATTTAAAAAATTTGACAGCTACCTGGTTGTTGCACCACTTATACATTCCAAAATAGTGGAATGTAAAGTGGTTTTTTAAGGGTCTCCTATTTCAGTAAGTTGTGTGTCTTCTATGTGAAGTAATATTTAAAAATTTTTTATTTTTTGTTTGAAATTGAATCTTAAATCTTTGTGAACTCAATCCTCACCACTCATCCTTACTATCCTAGTATCTTTCACATCAATAAAAACTTCCATCCATTCATTATTTTGATGTATTTGATTTTCAGGATTTAATTTTATTACATTGTTGTTTTCATTATTTAATAAATAGGTTGTTTTATGCAACAGCCAATTTCCATTGTATATTGTAAAGAGTAGATTAGATTTACAGCTGACTCTGACTGTTTTGTTTTGAGATGTATGCAAGATTTATCCCATATCTTATAGCAAAGCTGTCAGCAACAGATAACATCCAGATGAATATTTCAAATGACAAGTCATCTAAAATAAGAATAAATTTATTATGTTTGCAAATATCCTTTTACTATCACTTTTATTTTTCTTTAATCCTATAATACTTGTTCAAAAAGTATCTGATTTCATTTATTATGTAAGTTTAGTTAAATCAGGTTGCTTTTTCTTATAGCCAATAATTGGACAATAATACATCGAAGATACATCATTTATGTTTTTAAAAAAGCATACATATAAAATCAGAGTTGGGTATTAATATTGAGAGTAAACTAAATATAAAACGAAATAAACACATCAAACAGTCTAAGGAACGTAAACATTTTTTCTCATATCTACATCAATTTTGATTGGATTTTAAAAAGTGACATACCAAGTGACATTATAATCCCTGATTAGTCAGCAATGAATTTATCTTAATTTCACTGTAATATAATTTCTCTTTAATGAAATAAGTAATCAAATAAAAGTTGAGAAGTGCAGTAATTTAATGGTAATTTTTAACATAAAAATCAGTTTAAAACATAAAAATTTAACAACAAATTAATCTGTGTTTCCTTCAGTAGCAATAATTACAGCTTGACACTGCCTTGAAAAGCTTAAAATTAACTTATCAGTTTTGTTTTGAGATAATAGGATCCATTTCTATGTAAGATCTTTAAGACTTTGTCTAGTATGGGCATTGTGCAGATTCAGAGGAATCTGTCTCGGAAGCATATCTCATACATGCTCAATGGGATTAATATCTGGCATTTGTGCTGGAAATGGTTAAAGTGTAATATCCTCATTATCCCATCTCTTACTGTTGCTGCAGTATGTGGCTTTGCGTTATCCTGCAGCTAACGCAAATTGGGACCTGCAGCAGTGTCACGTGGAAGGGCAAAAAGTTATGATCAATATACTGATATTCATTCAAAGTGCCTTGCACAAAAACGAGAATAGTTCTATGATAAAAAATTATTCTAGACCACATCATTACTTATAGATCACTATATGGACGAACACCCTGTATATGCTTGAGTCTCTCTTTTGGACCAGGTTCTCTCCATCTCTCACTCTTTTTGATTCAGGCTACAGACAAAACCTAGCTTCATGTGTGAGTAGCACATATGGACGTATAAACACAGATGGACTCCGTTATTTACATAAAATTGTGAAGTCAAAATTATTTGAATAGGTCACACTCTCAGCACCTTCAACTGTTGTTATGTTTTTTTATTAAAATTTCTTATTCGCTAGTCACTGAAAATATTACTCTGTATTTTATACTCTACATTAATAGATATTACAAATTTATAATCAAATAATCGCTCTCTCTTTAGACCTGTTTAAAGTTTAAAGATCAGGTCATAGGAATTTCCAGTAGTAGACAGAATACAGACAAGTTGCTTAGCCTGTTTTGTCCCATAGAGTTTATTAAATAGGGTTTAAATAAAGGCCAGTCCTGCCACACTATAACTATGCCACAGCATGAGAGCTTTTATAGGTTAAGAACAGCTGATGATGCAAATCTCCATCTTTTGATAACATTTCAATCTATGAATTGTGTTCTCCTTTAAAACAGTATGGAATACTAATAAGGAAAACAAAATAAAAGGTATATGGGCTGGTTGAGAACATGCTTGATTGGCTGAGTTCAGATAGTGTGTACCAGGGATTTTGCTTCCAGTCAGATTAAGGTTCATTCAGGAGTACCCCAGGACATCTGAAGTGGGTAGGCCATATAATGCGGATGGAGCAAACCGACCCAGCTAGAAAAACGCTCCTTGATAGACCTATTGGTCAAAGAAGAAGAGGAAGACCCAGAACAAGATTCCTAGATAACATAGACAAAGATATGAGAAATATGGAAATACATGGTTAGAGGAGGAAGGCGATGGATAGGCCGACTGGAAGAGAATTCTTGGGGAGGCTAGGACCCACACAGGGTTGTAAAGATCATGATTCAGGAGTACCCCAGGGTTTTCATTTGGGGCCCCTCTTAACATATTCATCTATGCTATACACTACTGCTTACAGCATGGTTCACCTCTCCTTTTTATGGATGAAAGTCCTAAAGTTCTACACAATTATGTGTAGAACTTTAGGACTTCAATCAGGTTGTGTGAGTGGTGTGTGTGTTGAATGCCATGATCCTGAATGCATCCAAGTGTCCATTATGTCAATAATTTCCAAGTCTTTACAAATGCTTGGCTTTATAAAATGATGCACTAGAGACTTTCATAATATTTAAGCAATGAAATTACTATATTGTTATTTAGTTAGACCTCATCTAGAGTATCATTCCTATTTATGGCCTCTATCTTATAATATTTATATATATCAAAAATTGAGACAGTTCAACACAAGTTCTTGAAATGCATAGTGTATAAACAGGGTATAACTTTTGAATTAAATTAAGAAAATTATGAACAAATTGAAACCCAACTTGGTATTCTCTTATTGCATTACTGACGATTAATTAAAGATGCAAAGATACTTTATGGCATAATTAATTCTTAAGTCTTGTGTCTCAGCTACTTGAGCAGCTTGGTCTGCATGTACCTCTCCATAGAACACAACTAAACCAAACTTTTAGATTTTTAGAGATCTAGATTTTTTTGTAGTGAAGGCCGAATTCAGTTCTGATCTCAGGCATGTTTTTATTTGAGTGGGTATGGAATAGTTAGTCATCAATTTGATATGTAAAACCAAATTATGTGATTAAGTTTGTGATGTTTATATTTTATATTGTTTTATTGTATTTTTAATTAGCACACATATATTGAAATTTTTTTAGATAGGTATAAATTTAAGATTTCATTTAAATAAGAATATTCGAATATAATTATTATAACCATTGTTAATCTTATTGTGCAGCAGCTCAATGATACAGTCGTAAAACATAAACGAAAAGGATTGCTAATTGAGGAGATTAATTCCCTATTTTTTATTAGGTAAAAACACAACATTAGGAACAATGTGTTACGTAACACATTGTTCGAATCCCCTCCCGCCCCTGTAACACACTGTAACATTTTACAAAACCTCCCTTCCCTCAAATTGAGTTACGTAATGCATACTTGAACGACCACTAATGTACTTTATACACTTTATATTTATTATATAAAGTCTTTATAAGCAAATAGGCATTACTTTGGTAATTATAATAATTGTATGAGAGTTAGGGAGATTATATATCAAAATCAAACAGTGTCATATTTTGTTATATTTTTTTAAACTTGATATTATCTTAAGTTAACAGCTGCTTCAGTGTGTATCACAATAAAAATAGATTGCTCACAAGCACCTAATCAGAATATTTTTATTGTCATAAATAAACACCACAGATAAATTGTTATTTATTTTGTTATCATTTGGGAAGTACACACCATTAAATGTTAATAAATAGCAGTGGTAGAGGTTAAAAAAATGTAGGCAGGTAAATAACTGACAAAATTAAAATTGTACAGCGGCATATTGTAATGTATGTGGGAGCTATTCTCCAAAATTAATGCTAAATGTACCATAAGTTTGAAGCAATTTTTCCTCTGAACCATTGATTATATTGCAATAACTTATTGTTCACATTATTTTTACATATAATTCTAAGGAATTACTGTACCACCGTTTTCTGAGAAATGTCAATGTTTTATCAATATACAGGGTGTAAAAATAAAAGTATGTTTTTCCATCTTATTTTGCAACAACCTGTGGAATTTATTAAAAATATATGCTACATCTTATTAATATTACGAGATAGCTTCATCTTTTCTCAACATTTTCGCAAAAAAATCACCTCAATATCTGTATAATCAAAGATTACTTATACAAAACTTTAAATGTAATAAGTTTTTATGGGCATTTATTTTCAAGTAAATGAAAGCAAAGGAAACACTGCTTACATAAACTTTATTGTCATTTAAAACAACTAAAGCCTAAGAGAACATATCCTAAATAATCTTTAACCCTTCGTTGCACAGGTGAGGCCTGTCAGTCCAGGCAAAACTCTTTTTTGTATTAACTTTAAAACTGTTTGCTAAAATGATGCGATTTCTAGGTATCTTTCAAGGTTAAGAATCTGCATATATACACAATTTTTAATTGAAAAAAAATATATACATTAGATATAAGATATACCGCTAAATAGACTGACAGGCCTCACTCATCCGTTTATGTATCTTTTGCCAATATACATAATGTAGTTCCATCTGGCGTTTAAGCACTGAAATACGATGTGAGTAATTATCCACGTAACTAAAATGGTACTTATGAATGGTACTGAA